AAGAAAATGGAAAGAAACAAAGGAGGAAGGCGGGGCGGAGGGGGGAAAGGGGAGGGACAAATTGGAGGGAGGGACGGAGGGAGGGGAGGTAGGATGGACTTTAGGGGCGGAGGGAGGGGCAAGTGCCAGTGCCCACAGTCCCAGCCTGGCTTTAACAGGAGATCATCTTCCTTCGGTCTCCACCTTTTGCGCCGACTCCCTTCCTGTTCATCACAGGGACCCTAACTCCCTCCCCCCCTCCCTCCCTCTCTCCCGCGACTCACCAATGATGATGTACGGCTTCCGGCGCTGATGAGCGATGGGCACACAATCTGAAAGAAGGCCCAAGGGGAGCTGGAGGGCCTGAGGGAGGAGCTGAGGGTGGAAGGGAGATAGGGAGTGGGAGCAGAGGTGGGAAAGGATGAGTCTCGGAGGTGGGCTTGTCGAGGCAAGACGAGGGAGGGCCGGGGGGGGGGTCTGTGGCCTTTGCATCCCCAGCGCAGGCAGGAGCGTTGTGTGTGGACCGAGAGAGAGGTAGAGGGCGCACTCCATCTTCACCATCACCCTCGCATCCACGCTTGTCCAACGCAACCCCCAACCTACCAGCATGCTTTGCACAACGTTCAGGGCCCTTCCGTCCATCATCAGGTCTTGCACCACGTAGAACCCCATGGGGATGACCAAAAAGGTGCTAGTTAGATTGTACACAAAGGTTCCGACAGTAATGCCCCAATTGATGCGGCTCCACGGGTTGATCAGGGTGGCTCGCGAATGCTTGCCCGGGAAGGGAGAGGCCACGGCGAGAGGGATGGCGGTGCGTTCTTCCCCGTCCTCTTCATGAGCCCAGGCGTCGTAGACCGCATTTTCGGAAGGGAGGTCACCCATTTCAATGGCCTTTGTATGGTGGTCGCTATCCTCCCCGGCCAGGGTGTGGGCATGGGCCGCTGAGGTACCTGTCGGCCCCACAGGTTTAGGAGTCGCTGGAGTCATCCTACTGCTTTCCCCAATCAACGCCAAACTCTAGATGGGAGGTGCGTTCGAGGTCGGCGCTAATTTCATGGCTGGTGAGAGGGCCTGCATGCCGATGTTTGGACCTGTGAACGTATGAAAGGTGATGGATACGCATCTGCTATCCAACCAACCCCTCCCATCATGCAGGCGGTCCTCCCAAGATTCTTTCCTTTTCCATTGTCCGATCGGAGGAAGCCACATGATCCCCGTGGCTTTCAGCACAGCGCATTGTACTCCAAAGCAAAGAAAATCATAGCTTTCACCGCCCCGACAAACTCACTACCGTTTTCATGGCCTTTTATCGATCCCTGTATCAGGGGCCAACCGAGCGCACGCCCCTCCGAGGCCGACAGCTGTCGGCCTTGAAGTTTTGAAAAGACCAGAAATAAAGGGTGTTTTTGGGAAACAATGCCACTATGGCATAAATGGACCATTTGCGTGCTAAATCATGTTTAAAAGTCAAGTCAAAATATTCTGGAAGGTTTTCCTTTTGCTTTCGTGCGCTAGAAAATGCCGAGATATCGTTCTAGTTTCCCCCTCTATGAGTTTTCTTCTTCCCAAAAATACCTTATGAAAGAAAGTTACACGTGTTTTTTTTTTGTCTAGAGCATAATGGGATTCTATGTTTATCTTTTTTCTCTTGAAAACACAAATCAGTGGAATCAAAATAACACCAAACGTGTTGAGAGGGCCTGTCTCCCATGGCCCCAACTAACCGACATCCAACGACAAGAAATGCCAAGCATTTCCGATATTTGGGTGCCCTGCTCGCTCCTTGCTCCGAACGATTTCTTATCTTTCCTTTTGACGCAACAACGTCCAGAATGCTGAATTTTACAACAAAAGTCGTAGGATTATTCGTCGTCCCAAGCAGCAGACCCTACATTTTCACGAAGATTCTCGTCCGACTCGCAAAGGACCTGTCCACCCCGAACACATCACAACATCCCAGACCGATAACTTCTATAACACAGACATTTTTCGCTTCATCTTTCACCCTGACTCCCCCAACCATGTTCTTGGACATGCTAGCCATGGCGCAAGGCCCGTTTCTTCGGGCTTTCCAGCACAGCTGCCCCCGTCTCGGCGTCAATGGTCGCAGCCTGGAGGAAAACGAGGAAAGCGTAGGAATACACCATGAAAATGCGGGGCATTGCATGCGAATGTGGGAGATGAGCGGGAAGGCAACTCGAGGGGTGATCGCAGTGGAAGGGGGGCAAGGTGGCGCAGAGCCCCTAACGATGCCGATAGATCCACCGACACAGAGACACAGCAATAAGTAGTGGCTTCCTTCGCCTTTATGCCCCGTTTCTTCAGAGACTTTTCTTCTCCCTCAAATCTCCCTTACCGATCGGGCGTCCTTCTCCTCGGGCAGGGCGAGAGGGACGGCGAAACCGTCCTGGCAGGCGTGGAAAAGGGAGACGGGTCATGAAAAATGAGGCTCAGAGATGTCCTGCGTGATAGGCCGTCGGTCTTTCCCTCCTTCCCTCCCCCTCCCTTTCTTTCCTCACCTCCTTTCTCCGTTTGAAGGCGTCGATCGAACGATAGGTCCAGTCGCGGGCCGCAAATTTCAAGTCTACCAGTAGGGGAGGGGAAATACAAAGAATGAGGAAGAAGATAGAAGGAAGTCAAAAGGAGGGAGAGAAATTTTGCCGATCCATGTGGGTGATGTGCGGCTTGTCTTTAACACCACTGGTTCAATACGACGCTCCAACGCTCCAGGAGCGAATCCACGAGGGATGAAGAAAAA